TGCCGCCCGCCCAAGCGCGGCGCAGGGCTGTGGGCGCTGCCAAGGGCTGGGCGCGGCGGCGCCTGCGGGCCTCCCGCCTGCGCTCGGGCGCTGCAGGGCCAAACCGTGCCCCTGGCAAACGGGCCGGAGCGCACTGCCGCCCGCCGGGAGTTTGCCTGTGCGGCTGTAGTTTGGTTTCTGGCGCTACTCTAGAAGCAAAACTTATTTTGAAAGGTAGACAGCGCGGCGGTGTGCGCGTTGGTTTTGAAAGCAATAGCACTGAGTACAGCCGGTGTGTTTCCTCTAGTCACTGAGGAAGTATTGTGCTTGATCCTGCCTCCCTTCTCCTCCATCGAGTTTGCACCTGTCAAGGTCTGCGCTCGAAGGCATTGCCACGGCTGTTGTTTTCTTTCATTTCACTGAGATCTCAAATGCTGGCATCTTTTTTTTTGTTGTTGTTGAAGGAGATCAACAAGTGATTGCTTTTAAGGTAGGCATCCTTTCAAATGTGTTTTAGAGCAGTTAGTGCTAATTTGTCAAATAGCATGTATGGGCTACGTGCTACAACTGTTTTACGAACTGCAGAGTGAAAATAGGTGTTTGTCAACAATGCCAAAGCAACAGCAAGTTGTAGGTTTGCTCCTCTGTAGTTACGCTTAAGACTCTTCATATTTACAATACTAAAAAACAAAAAAAGTGCTTTATGTTTCCATTTGTTTGAATATCTTCAGTGTAATCCTCGTTGTTTTAATCTAATGTCTTCATTTTTCCCTTTTTTTTTTTTTAAGATGAAGACAAAAAAGGGAAAAAAATTTAGATCTTCCTTTAAATTGAAACAGAAAGGCATTGAAGTAGTAGGAAAATGGAAAAGTGTGAAAATTGACCCCAATCTATTTGCTGATGAGCAGTTTGGAGACATAGTATGCTTGGAGGAACTCACAGAGTATAAATTAGTGAGTTCCTCCAAAGTGGGGAAACTAAAAGAGAAGAAGAGAAAGGTTGATGATGTTCCTGAGGAAAGGAATGAGCAGGAAGAGCCTGTCGTCCCTCCCAAAAAGAGAAAGAAACGCAAAGATTTGAGAACCGGAACAGTTACAAGCGATGATCCTAATGCAATAGAAGTTGATGTGCCAGCTAATAAAGAGGACAAGCACGAAGAAGTAGTGAAAGGGGCAAACTGTGAGGACCGTGGATGTGTGGCTGAGAGTGTATCAAGCACAAAAAAGGCTCTGAAGAAAAACAAAAAAGAAGTTAAACGGAAAGCTCCTCAAATTCAAGAAGCTCTTCCATCTGTAACTACTTCTAAAAAAGTTAAAAATTGGACAACAAAAGTTTTATCTGCCTCAACTGATCGCAGAGCTGATGTGTCTGCATGGAAAGACCTGTTTGTACCTGGACCAGTGTTGCAGGCCTTGAGTTACCTGGGGTTCAGTGCTCCAACTCCTATTCAAGCATTAGCCTTGCCTTCTGCAATCCGGGATAATATGGATGTTCTTGGTGCTGCAGAAACAGGTACAAATCCTTACTAGTAGAATTTGTGGTGAGCTTCCCATTTCCTCTCTTAAAATGTAGTCAGTTGTTAGTAGGAGAAGAGCTTGTAGCTTCTACATATTGTATTTTGTATATTCTTATATATAATATTTCCATATATTGTATTTTATTGTATATTCACAGCAAAGGTAGAGTATTTTGTTTTATCTTGTACAAACTGTTAATACTTTGCGAAGTACAACATGTAAAGCTTTAAATTCTCAGTGAGTTTTTTTATGCTTTTGACAAAAGCCTCTTTTTGTTTCGCAAGTTATGTCCTATTTTGAGAACTGTGAGGTAGTACAATATGAATAAGGGTAGAACTGATGAAACAAATATTCCAACAACCTGACTTGTATGGATGTTCCTATGCCTAGGCAGAGCAGAGAACTCAGTTTTTCTGAAGAAGATTCAGTACTGGCTTAGAAATACTAGGCACAGAGCATTGGGCATCGTGAATATGGCCTGTGCCTTTATCATAGCGAAACAGGCCCACCTGGTGCCTTGTCTTAGTTCTTTGTATGTTTTTATTAATTGCAGTGATTCTTACCGCTTGTGCTTGAAGTGAGCGTTAGCTTGTTTCATTAACTTTAAAGGTAATGTTATACCTTGATTCCAGTTTGTGATCAGCTCACGCTTTTCTCTTTAAGCCTTGCTAACCTTAGTGACATTTGTTGTGGCTTCTTTTTTACCTAGACAATAAAGTGCAGGCTGTGAGCATTACTTTTCCTCTGAGGAATTTTTTTGCTGCTGATACCTTTGAAGTTTTGTCTTCGATAGTAGTGTAACGTGTTTATCCCATGAAAACTACAAATAAGCAGCAGAATTGTGAACCACATTGATTTAAAGGCTTCTTTTGACATTCATGTAATCTGTTCCGATTGCCTTATCTCACTGCTTGTCTTGTAAAGCCATTTGCTGCTCTTGAGCATGAAGGTATAGTAACTAATTTTAATAAGAAATGCAGTCATTTGCATTTAATTTTAATTAGAAGCTAGGCTAATAAGATTAGAAAGCCCTACAGGGAATGTTTGTGGAAAATGAAAACTTAAATGGTGTTTTTGGACTGCAGAAAGGTGCCATTTTGGGAGCACTGGAGAGCAAATCCCTCTATCTGCAGAATGGAAAGTGCAGTTAGTGGCAGGTTGTGCTGCCCCACCCTTCTCTGTTGCTCTTCTAATTTTGCAGGATCCTGAGTTACTAGGACTGTTTTGCTCGTTCTTCTTTTGTGAGAGAAAGCACAGTTCCCTCCAGAGAGCCCAACACATCATCAGTGGTCCTGCAGAAACCTGAGAGCAGATACGGACAATTGTCCATTAGAAGCTGTTGCGTTTGGGAGAGGCTATTAAGCTGAAACTCTCCAGTTCTCTTTTCCAGATCCTACAGCCTTCCGTAGCGTTGGGCCTGAGAAGGAAGGTGACTGATGAGAGAACTACTCTTGTTCCTTCTTTGGTTAGCAGGCACCACGGGGGAAGATGACAAAATCTTGAGGTGATGGTGGATCGCTGTGGGTTCCACAGCTTGTTGTTTTTGTAGTGCATCTAACCAGATCTGTTCAGTATCATGTTGTTACTCTGAACAACTAGTGAAGTTTTGGGCTAAAGATCCACGCTGTATCTCTGGGTAAAATTCTAAACCAGTTTAAAAGAGGTTAAATTAGCTTGAGCTGTAGGATCCATAGGTACCACGATATAGTTTTCTCCTAGTTTGATTGGTCTGGTGTATGACCTGTGTGTTTTGAAGATAACACGTCCGATAAGGTGATTATTTGTTTGTCTTGCGGGTGAATCTAACGCCTGCAGAATAGTTATCACTGGCGTAATCTAGCTGTGTGGAGCACTGTTTGCGCTAGCTGGATTGCATTACTTGTTCAAGACCAGCAGTGTTCTTCGTCAGACAGACCTTCTGGTAAGGCAGCATTACTATGAATTCCCTTAATGGACCAGAATCTTGTTAGATAAGTGCTCTGCAAATGCAGATTATAAACTCTTCTGTTTCGAGCGTACAAGTCAGAAGAGATCTCCCAGGCATGCAGGAAGATGGGGAAGGGGACACGAGGAGACTCTGCAGCAGTGTTGGTCAGGGTGGTGGTACTGCACTTAGTTGTTTATTAACCAATAGTAAGATTCTCCTCTGGAAAGGCAAACTTCTGTGCTGCTGAATTTGGCAAACCACGGTGGGCAAATGCTGCTCAAGGAGTTGAGGTAAGACCTCCAGAGGATTGCTTCCCAGTAGCGACTTATTATAGGAATGATGTATGAATATCTTGCACTCTGTAGCCACTGGATGGTTCCTTTATCACCAGTGAGCTGATATATTTATGAGAAACTTACCTGGGGTTGATGTGCTGACAGGATTCGCGTAATATTTTTGTTAGTGGCAGATAGCTTAGAAGGGAATATGTGCCAGGGACATGACTCACAGTTAGGTACCTCTAACTCAAAGGAATTTACAGTGAACCCCTGAATTTACAGTTAGGGAAGCATTTATTTTCTTTGATACTCCCTTCCCCCTGCTTCCAAAGTGGATGTTCTATTTTAAATCAAATTTATCCCTTTTCATTATAAAAAAGTGAGCTGGTGATAGATCAGGGAATTAGAGGGTAAAGTATGTCAAAATATAGCTTCTCAGAAAGGGGTAAACACAATACTATAAACTGAAAATGGAAGTGAATCCTTCAAGTACTTTTCAGTTTGTCCTTGGCCTCATTTGCTATTCCTTTATTTGGAGAACATTGATCAGAACTGTCATTTAGGGCATGGTATTCTCCTTACGGGCCCAGAGTTCTTTAAAAAGATCTTGGCTGCAACTACAGCTTTTTAAAACTACTTTCAGAACAGATTCATCTGCCTGACCTGCTGGGGATTGGAAAAATACCTGTTCCATAGGATATATGCTATTGGTGACCTCAAGGAGATATATCAAGGGAATAGCAGACGAGATGCTGTTGCTTACTGTCTGGTTTTGTAAAGATCAAGAGTTTGTGTGTGTTAGCAGCGTATGTTCTAAAACCAGGATGTGATTAGCTGCTGCTTTTCTCTTCAGATAATTTTAATGTCCCGTCCGTCTGTATTTCTTGTTCTTTTGTTTCTTAGGAAGCGGAAAAACGCTTGCATTTGCAATTCCTATGATTCACTCTGTGCTGGAATGGCAAAAATCAAACAGCTTGATGAGCAGAAATGACAGTGATGCTGAAGAGTCCCGTGACGATGAAACAAGATGGGAAAATGAGGATGAAACAGAACAACTAACCCATCAACAGACTGAAGACAGCGGAGATGAAGAGGACGCAACTCTCACAACAGGATGTGTGGCGGTGGTGAAAAATACTGGGCTTGATTCTATGGACAAGACGCATACTCTGGGCTCCCATAGAAAGAGACCTCTTTTAGGACTAGTCCTTACTCCCACGAGAGAATTAGCTGTACAAGTAAAACACCACATTGATGCAGTTGCAAGGTTTACAGGTACGTAGATCCCAAGGGCAGTGTCCCAGGTTGTGCTGGGTTTGGTTCTGGGCTCTGGTGTTGAGCCAGGACGTGTGCCACAGTTTCTTCTGCATAAAATTAGGATGTTTTTTGAGGCAGTTCTAATCCTTAGTCACTAACATTTGAGGAGTGCTTTAAAATTCTTGGATGAGATACAAATGGAAGCGTACAGTTATATGAGATAGTTGTTTTAAAATGTTTCTTCCAACACATAGCTATTGACTGTTGTTTTAGAAACACAGAATCAGTACTAGATACCCAGCCAGAGGTAACTTTGTCCCGGTTTTGGATGATGCAGGTTGCGTATATCAAGATAAGAAATGATACCCTAAATTTTAAGGATAAGAAGGCATTGCTGGCTTGTCTGACTCACTCAGTGGAAATGCTGTAGCGTGACTTTCATAGAAGGTAACAGCTCTGAGGAAAGCATTCTGTCCCGCTGTGTTCTTTTCCAAAGCAGAGGTCAGTGCAGCTGTTAGAATAGATGAGGATGTGAAACTCCCATTTGAGATGGGGAAAACTGGGAAATAACTTTCCCCTTCTCCAGTGGTATTGACTGTGTGTTTCTTGAAGAGACTTTTGCAGTGCTGTGAACAGCTGAAACGCATTTTCCTTTGCCATCCCATGCTTCCTGCTGTGCTCATCAATCTGTAGCTGATTACATGGCTAATTTTAACTCCTAGCCTATAGGAGTTAACTCCTAGCCTAAAATAATCAATTGATGGCAGTATAATTCTGATATGAGGCATGCTGTTTGTATGTAAAAACGTGCTACCCAAGTGAGGTCTAGTTGCTGTAACAGGGGAGAGAATACCTTTTGGTGTGGGCTTTGTTTGTCTCAAACCAGCTTTGAACAAATCCCCACCTGAAATCGTGGGGTTACAGAGCAAACACTGGGGAAGAACGGTCTGAACTAGCTCTGCTGCTGGAGGAATCATGCACATAGGCTGAATTTCCTCAAGGGCCAGTGTATCCTTTGAAGAAGAAGGCTGAAAGAAGCCGTGGCGGTATCTGTGCTTCCAGCACTAGATGACATCCTAGGACCTGAGCAAATTGCTTAAGGCTAACTTAAGGTCTCTGTGCTACTCTGCAGTCCAGAGAACCTTTAATTAGGCAGTGATGTTCTCGTTAAAGGTTATTCCATAGCAAGTGAGCGGTTATCAGTAAGACGGGAGTTTCTAAGTCTTATTCTTACAGGGAATTGCTGGGTTATTTGCGACAGGGATGTGCTTGTTCATCCAAATTTGTTTGACAAAACATGATGGAAATAAAATGAATTACCTTCTAATTAGGACACACAGATTCTGAAGCACTGGTAAACAAAGCAAACAGCTGTGGAACACATACATGATTCTTCCTGCTTTTGGAAGACAGGTGCACTGAAAGAAAGACTATTTTGTTTTTGACGTCTTCCTATTACCAGAATTTTCCTGTGAAGCTGCAGGCATGCTGTGTGTTCAAGTGTTAGGCAAAACCCAAAAGTTTCCTAGCCAAAGAGTTTAATGGTAGTTGCAATACAAACTTAAAATGGCTTCCATGAGTGGATTTAGGTAAAAATTTTCAGTGATAAATTAGTGAGACAAAGACCATTACTTATGTCTTCTAGGCATTAAAACTGCCATTCTAGTGGGAGGCATGGCTGCACAGAAGCAAGAACGTATACTGAATCGAAAGCCGGAAATTGTCATTGCAACCCCAGGCCGTCTGTGGGAGCTAATTAAAGAGAGACACCCCCATCTCTCAAATCTCCGGCAGCTCAGGTAAAGGTGCCTTTTAGACTAACTTCTTGGAACGAGTTGTGAGGTATCACTTAGCGCTGATTATGTTTATTTACTCATAAAACAATTTTGACTACGTAAGATCACTTATTTCTTTGCTAGAATACTTAAATTCACAGTGGTTTTGTTGCGAGATAGAAGTGTCAATTAAAGCCACTAACAAAAACCCCGTTGTTGCTTTAGCAACCTGATTTTTCAAACAGCAGTGTGAAAGGCTACTGTAATTACCCAGACATACCTGGTGTTACTTTGGGTTTAACATGCAGAATTTCCCTTGTGTGTTTAGCAGGGAACGTTCTTTTGAAGAGTATTAGATTTGTCTTTATCTACATCACTCATACTGTATGTCTTCTATGTGATAGGTGCCTGGTGATTGATGAAGCAGACAGAATGGTTGAAAGAGGTCATTTCTTAGAGCTCTCTCAATTGCTGGAAATGTTAAATGATTCACAGTATAACCCTCAACGTCAGACTTTTGTTTTTTCTGCCACGCTGACTTTGGTCCATCAGGCTCCCACGAGAATTTTACAGAAGAAGAACGCGAAGAAGATCGACAAGAAGACCAAACTAGAAATGTTAATGGAAAAAGTAGGAATAAAGGGCAAACCCAAAGTGATAGACTTAACAAGGAGAGAGGCCACTGTTGAGACTCTAACAGAAACCAGAATCCACTGTGATACTAACGAGAAAGACTATTATCTCTATTACTTCCTCCTCCAGTATCCAGGAAGAACCATGGTCTTTGCAAACAGTATAGACTGTATAAAACGCCTCAGTTCTCTCCTCGCCATCTTAAATTGTGATCCTCTTCCTTTGCATGCTAACATGCACCAGAAGCAAAGGCTAAAAAACCTGGAAAGGTTTGCTGAGCGAGACAGGTAAGTTGGCTTTCTCATTCGTAGTACAAAAGAAAACATCAAAGAATCTGGGCGGGGGGATAGCTGAGTTAGAGGAAGGGCGGGTTTGGGGAGTTAGTCGGGGATATCTGTCCATCGTTCGTGAGCCCAGGTCACCGAGGATGAAGCTCCACAGGATTGTTGAGGCAATAAACTAGCGTGAGTTCAGTGGAGCACCACCAGGATGGTTGAGGAGCACTTGCTCTGTGAGAAGAGGCTGAGACGACTGGACTTGTATAGCCTGGAAAAGGGAAGGCTTTAGGGGGACCTAATAGCAGCCCTCCAGTTACCTTAAGAGAAGGTTATCAAGAAGATGAAGGCAGGTTTTTTAGTGTTGCGTGGTAGGAGGATGAGAAACAGTAGGCGTAAGTTAAAACAAGACAGATTCAGAATGGATAGAAGAAGGAACTTTGTCCTGTGAGGACAGTCGAGCACTGAAACAGGCTGCCAGTCCTTGGAGGTTTTCAAGACTCACCTGGATAAAGCCTTGAGTAACCTGGTGCAATCTCATAGCTGACCCTGCTTCGGGCAGCAGGAAGGACGAGAGACCTCTTGAGGTCCTTTCCAACTGGAATTACCCTATGATATCCTATGATAGCTCATTACTGCTGAAGGCAGTCTGTCCTGCTCAGGTGTCAGCCGTATGCTTTTACAAGTGCTCTTGCACTTCTCTTGTGCCCTGGCCCTGCAGCTCATTTGATTCTTCTATAGGTTGATTCATCTGACTGAACCAACAGAAGAGTAATCACTTTTTGCTGCGTTAGGTTTTTGCAGTTTCAGTTAGAGGAATTAACTTCCTGAGGGTCAAGGTATCCTAGAGCAATGCAAGAGAAGGGGCAATTGTGCATTTCAGCAGCAGTGGACAGGTTGGCCAGGCAGGGTTCTCTCTGGTCATTTGAAGAACGGTTGTTTCTTGCTGGTGTTGGAATGGCCTTTCGGGTGCAAATTGGTGGTCTCCCAGAAGCCTTAGAGCATGGTACTGCTGCCCAGGTACCACATGCTGTCCCATTGCAATAGAATTTGTTTGTACCTTTACAGATTCAGGCAGGGAAAAATAGAGATTAAATTGCTGTGACAGATGTGCAGTATCTCTTGGCAAGAGGTAGTACTGATAGCCTTGGCCTAGGCCAGGCAGGGCGTTTTCATAGATACGGATTTCTCAAAGCACAAAGAAATTTTAGACTGTCCTATCACAGCCTCCTGCTGAATGCAGGTCCTGGACTTTTTTTTCCATTTATTTCTGCTTTGAACCTTGTAGCCACAGGGTATGCAGTCAGATGCCATAAAATCTTAAGAAATGCCTGCTTCGTATAAGTAACTCTTTTTAGTTGCTAGCAGATTTTTTTTTTTTAAACAAATTGTTCCATACCCTAGGGAGATGCTTGTCTCTGCAATAGACTGTTCATATGAAAGAATTTTGAGAACTCATTCATTTGTAGGGGATGAGGGAAGCCCTAATTGTCAGAACAGAATCCCCCATTATACTTCTAGCTTTTAACTAATAGAACTTTAAGTGCAACTTGGTCGAAGACGTTTCAGCCCCCAAAATTGTTAATTAAATCTATAATGTAAATGCTACTGCACTTTTCTTGATTGATAAAACATATAATAGCCTTTCTGTCCTGCCAAAAGATTAACTGCCTCAGTTGTACGGTCATGTCAAATTAATGAGAGATTAAACCTGGCCTGGGCAAAGCACTGAAAAATGCACTTGAAGGGGAGCATACCTCCATGCCGAGAGGTCGGATTAGGTCATCTAATAGCGCTTTACACTAGTTCCTGTGACTGGGAGAGAACAAAAGCATAGGAAAACAGGAACTTGCAAGGTAGTGAATTTCATTATTGCAAGCAGAATAGACCTGCAAAAATTATCATTTGTATTATTTCTTTTACTTTAAGAGTTGCTGTTTCAAGACTGCCTCTGATGTAACCCTGGATATTGTTTTCTGTAGTGGCAAGCAAATAGCATGCTTCTAGCAGGTCATGTAGTACAAGTCTGTTCCTTAAATTGTTCTGGTAGAATTCTAGGTCACTCTATCTTAGGTTCTTTGGCAGATGGTTTACTGTTCTATTTCATGTTTATTAAATGTTATCCCTTTCTCAGCTGTGTCCTCCTGACAACAGATGTTGCGGCTCGTGGTCTTGATATTCCCAACGTGCAGCACGTCATCCATTACCAGGTTAGATACTTCTGATGCTTTTGCTTTTACCATTTTGGTTTTGAAGCATGCTCTTGCTGATCCAAGCCCTGTACACTATAAAGCTGTGATTCTCAGTCCTATATAAATCTCATATAGAGATTTAATCATCTTTTATTTAACTCTCCTGTAGAGCTTTGTATCTAAGGATCTTACTGCTACATTGCCAATGGCAGGTAACGCATTATAAATGTGTGATTATATGAGAAATGGCCCGATAGATACAGTTCTTCTTTCGGCTTTTGGCATCTCTGCTTTACTTTGATATTCCACAGTGTCAAATAACTCAGCCCTGTAACTCATGTTTGAGGACCCACAGATTTTTTGCCTGCTTTGCAAATGAAGTGCAGAAGGTCAGAAGTTAGGAGAGACTGATCATAGATTATGCAAGGAAGAATACTAGACTAGTATCCCCAGACAACGTCTTTCACTCTTACTTTCAGCTGTGTTATACACAGTATCCTATGTATATATAAAAGGCAATTTATCAAAAAGCCTTATACTATCTGGTGAGCTCTTGGGCAAAGTGTGAAAGGCTGATGCTTACTTGTCATATTCAGCTTCATGACATGTCTGAGTATTTACAGGTTCCTCGTACGTCTGAGTTGTATGTACACAGAAGCGGCAGAACAGCCCGAGCTGCCCACGAAGGCCTTAGCTTATTATTGGTCGGTCCTGATGACTTGATCAATTTTAGGAAAATCTATAAAACTCTGGGGAAGAGTGAAGAGCTGCCGTTTTTCCCAGTTGAAACCAAGTACATGACTTCTGTAAAGGTAAAGAAAAAACGGTCTCTTTGCAATCTGAGTAGTTATTGATTTATTCAAATTAGTGCATTTCCCATCACGTTCTTCCCAGGTTTCAGGTGAAACTTACTCTTCAGGACCTGAATTTGAAATTTAAATTAATCACACTATACTTTTCTTGTGATATTTGTGATTTCTTCTCAATAAAGAGGTTCGAACATAAGCGTCATTTACATTTTTCCTGAGTGTTGTAACATAAAGCATCATGTGGCTAGATCCCCAAATACATTACCAAGAAGTGAATATCTGTTTTGTACAGTGACTGTCAGAAGTTATTAAAGTTTTGGTACCAGTCAGGCCACAGCTGCCTTGTCAGAACCAGGCGTTCCCTTTTTCTGGGATATTGACTGCATTAGGAAGAATTTTCCTAGTCATTCAGCGTCTCACAAGATAGCATAATAGACAATGGTTAGGGTTCCCAAAACAGTACATCTTAGAAAGCGTCTAGTCACCGCAGCTTTCTTGCTTCTCGCATAAGAGCGCATTTCACATCTCAACAGCGCTATCTTAATAGTTTTGGTGACATCAGCCTTGTACAAACGGGCATATTTAGGTGTAGCATTAGAAGGGAATCTGGCTGGGGATGGAATATCTAAAAAATATTGCACAACCATTCAGAACAGGACAAAATGCAAGCAGCCAAAGAATGCAACAGTCTCCCTTGTGGTATCCTGGTTCATGCTTAAATTCAGTTGGCCTGGATTAAGCACAGGATCCAGCACAGTAACAACAGTGGTATCATCACCTTGGGAATAATGGCAGCAAGTTTCGAAGCCCAGGCTTACTGCAGATGGGCCTATGGTCTGCTGGAACTTAATTCTTCAGAACGTCTTGAAGCTAGTGGCTTTCCTCCAGTGCAGAAACTGATAAGTTAAAGATGTAGCTGAACTGTAGGATTACATAGCTTGGAAGTGGATGGTATATGGATCTTTCAGGAGATGCAGCCTTCTAAGACAGGAAGGTAAACAAGCATTTCCACAGAGTCATTTTTCTTCTCAGTAGTGTCAAAGACATCTGACTTCCATTCCCCTCCAACCTCGTCCCCCGCCCCGATCACCCCTCCTCCCAAACGTGTCTGGCTACTAAAAGAAATTTCCTGGTTTTTTTTCAGATTATTTCTTCAGAGGTCCCTTCTGTGTTTCTTGATGAGTAGTTCTTGACTCTTATCACACACTGTCAATTTGTGGGTGGATAAACGTTTCCATGCTTAAATTTCCCTGCCGCTGTCTCAGTATCTTCTCTCTTATTCGTAATAGTGGTCCTTTCCCCCAATCAGATGTGTTTGCAATTGTAATTACAGGACTCCAGCCTCCTAGGTGCCCCACATGGGTCAGGTCTCATTTACGCTTCAACCTGGGCTTAACCAAAAGCCAATGTAGTTGAGACTACCAGTGCTGCTGATTCATAGTGTCTGTTCTGTTGGCACGCTCCTTCTTTGATTCTGCATGCCTGTGTTCAAGTTCAAAAAATATGCTGAAGAACTTCAAACTTGAGCGGAATAGAATTGGTGAGACATAATAGAGGAGAGCCCAAAAGAGGATGCAAGTTTTGCAAAGATGAAAAAGCTGTTTAAAAGCTCTCGTAGTGATCTGAGGAGAAGTTACTGGCAGCATGTTATTAGGCAACTCCAAGTTTAATTTCTCCTGTTTCTGCTGTTCTAATTACCTTGACTGGTCTTTGTGCTACTAGGTAGCCCCTGACTATTCAGTAGGGGTGGTCAAGGTGTCTTGCATACCGTTTGTTTTGTGCAGTTTTTGGCAAGTTCCAAACAGCAGAACTTACTGCTGAGTTGTTTATTATTTACTGTCAGTGCAGATTTTCTTTCCGTAACAAGTTAGTGATTTGGCCCAGCTAGAAGGCTGCAGGTCAGATTTGACTTGCTGGACATCTCCATTCAACCTGCAAGCGTCTGGGAAGACAGACAGGGCATTTTGACTTGTCCCTAAACGTGGTCAGGTGCGTTTCTGACAACATGAGTAGCTCCTTCCATATGGTCTGCAGGAACTTAATCCTTCAGAGCATCATGAAGCTAGTGGCTGTCCCCCATTGCAGAAACTGGTAAGTTAATTCCACAGTACGGCTAGGTCTATGTAGCTTGGAAACGAGCGGTATCTGAATTGTGATTTGTACCTGATGTCTCCAAAGTGTTGATTTCTTTAAAGATGAAGAGTTAGCATTCAGGCATGTTTAGTCATTGAGTTAACTTAAAAGTAAAAGTCAAATTCTAGCATGGATCTGAAGCAGGAAAACACTTTGTCAAACAATGACATCTGCATTATGTGGGGATCCGCTGGGGCAGTGGTGGGGGGCAATCAGGAGTGGCTCTGCAAGGCTGGCACCTCAGCTGCAATGTAATGCACTCTCTCAAACTCTGATCCTGCAGAGGAGCCGCACACTTGAATCTGCCGAGGATTGCTAAAACATGCTTTTGTTGCAGGAACGGATGAATTTGGCACGGCAGATTGAGAAGGCCGAATTTTTCAACAGTCGGGCAAAGCAGCATAACTCTTGGCTCCAGCAAGCTGCTGATGCTCTTGAAATTGATCTTGATGATGACGTCTTTATGGGCAAGTAGAAATGTTTCTTTAGGGGTGTGCTTAGCTGGTCCTGCAGTACTGGTATCCAGAAGGAGCTTCAGCATACCAGAAGAAGCCTAAAACCTGCAAGGCAGAAGGAGAAAGAGAGGCGTGTTGTTACTTAGTGTTACGTGGCGTTGCTTGTTGTTCTCTGGATGATTGTGTAGCAGATAGTCCAGCCCCGAGGGAGTGAAGTGTAGCAATTCTGGCAAGTCACAGACAAGTCCACGTGGCGTAGGATAAGAACTACTTAACTTCTGGCAACCAGTTGAGGGTAAATTAACAGCTTGCTGTGTCATGTCCCTTCTGTGTCAAAGAAAAAACTCTTTCTCCTCTTTTGCCGTCCTCTAGTCAGGCAGCAGGACAGGAGCCTGGCAGCTTTGTGTGGGAACACCTAGGAAACACTAGCACACAACAAAAATCCTGAGAGCCTTATGTGGGTTGAGTTTTGTGGGCTAAATGCCCAATACTTATGATCAAATAGCTGAGGATTCAGGTGCTGTATTAAAGTATAGTAACTTCTTATAGCCTGTAGAACATTTAATTTTAAGATATGCAGTAGCCTGCAGGAGCGTATAGGAACGTCGCTGCTATGCAGCTATAGGTGCCTGTTAGTTGAATGCCATGAAGGTATGCACCGCTTCTTAGATGGACTGTAAAATGCCACAGTGTCCTAATACTAGGAATCAAAGAGGTGATTTCCTTCCACTCCTTTGAAGGCATGGTGAGTGGGCTGCTGCCCAGGTCACTTCAGCTTAAGCTGCCACTATCCTTTTAGCTGTCAAATATGCAGATACCTTTGAAGCTTGCTTCCCCTGCTCCTCCGCTCATGGCTGGGTTAGCTTTTTCCAGACCCCTATGCAAGCAAGCACTAGTCAACTCTATTCAAACTGTTCAGGAGTGCTCTCAGATAGCTAGTACTCTGCCGTCTGTTTTGATGTACTCTGAAGATTCTATGTTTTGAGTGGGTTTCAAAACTGTGCCTCTAGTCCAAGTATGTCATGGCTCTTGACTTAAGCACTTTGTAATTGGCACCTAGAATCTTTGCCAGCTTCACACTTCAAGATTTATTCAGTCTCTGATGCTTCTATAGCTTGCCCTAGACAAATTAAAGTCTCAAGTCATATCCCCATAAACGAAATGTGTCTTATAGCTTTGCAAAGGATTTAATAATGTCCCTTCAATGTACAGGATAGCAAGTCTTGATTCCATCTGTTTTCTCCAGTTCAGGCCTCTGATCATATTAGCTAAGGTCTCTTCTACGTCCATCCTCCTCCTCTGATAATAAACACGAACACCTTGTGGTTTCTCATATATCTTTGATAAAAGAGGAAAGGGCTACTCTTCCAGTTCTACAGATGCTGAAATGAGGCATGTGCAAGGTAATGACTTGCACAGAAGAGACTTCTGCCCAAGCTAGAAGCCCTAAGCTAAAACTTTAACTGCTGGGATCCCCTTTCCTTTTTTGCTTGAGTCTGTTCTCTTCAAAAATCAACTGAACAACGATAGCTAGGGCATAGTTATTCCATAGTCAGGATTCCTCTTGACCTTGTTTACTGTGGAAACCCTGAGTGACTGGGAAGTGTCATAGATGACTGAAAAACTGTATTGGATCTGGATGATCTTGTGAGAGAGAGAGATAAGATTAGCTATGAAACTATAAAACTATGAAAGCCTGGTGAAACAGGCCAGTGCAAGTTCTTATTTTGTGGTAACGTTCTGTATCTTTGGTTTATGTCCCAAGGAGGAAAAGCTACAGAGCAAGAAGAAAGCCAGAAACAAAAAATGCTGAAGGGAATGAAAAAACAACTAAAGCATATGCTGTCTCAGCCACTCTTTAAAGTCCTTATGAAAACCAAGTATCCAACCCAGTCTGGAAAACTACTCCTGCCTCAGCCATCAGTGAGCAATTTGGAATCTGCTCTAGGTACCATATCAAAACAACAAGCCAAGAAGAAGAAATCAATAAAATTAAATTAGATAACTGATCAAGATCATCCAGTGCAATGGAAGCTGGGAAAATCTGTATCAAGGCTGTCAGTGCTTATGTTAGAAGCTAGGCCAGAAAAAGTAGTATCGGGGCATGGTGCCTGTGTCTTGGTTGTGCAGGCATACAGCTGAATGTAAATGGCATTGTTTAACATGCGGTTTGTAGCTATTGATTCTTGTCTTGGATCTGGGGGGTGGGTTATGTTCTCACAGGAATCTTTTTCTTATTCTCTGTATTAAGAGAGGATGATTAGTTTTGGAATAGTTCTGTTTATTGGCTCTTTTTTATAAGATGGGTAAAAGTTAATGGGCAAAATTCATCTTGGGCGTACTCTAGTATTCTCTTGGGCATATACTAATAGTGTAGCTTGATTTGTATTTCAGTGTTTTTAAAAGAGAGGGGGAGGTAGGCTGTATGTAGGGTACAGTACAATCTGAGCTGATGTTAGTGGGAGGTTTGGCCTTTACAGCAGTCAGTTCAGTGAGAAAGGCAAATACAGACAGAATTACCTTAACTAGAATTGTAGGCTTGCTGGTAATCTATCCCAATCATCCTTCCCTGGAAAAGCTTTCTCATTATGATATTATTTTTCTGTTCTGTTCTCCACTGGGTTTAATTCCATTAGTCCTTTGTTAATAAGTTTTTGAAAGTGCAAAAAAATTCAGGGTGGCAACAGACCAGAACTCACCTTGGGAGATTTCCAATCTAGACAGACTTCTGGGGAACGGATGCTGCTATGCAGTTCTCTTGTTAATTAACATTTGGAGTTAAGTCTGTATTTGAAAACATGTTAGAACCACAACCCTTGTTTTAATGGAAAGATGGTGTTATTGTGAAATGTCACTTTTTTGAAGTGTGCTTCCTGGTGATTATGCTTTTTAACCATTTTAACCTGACCAGTGCAAATAATTGTCAAAATGCTTTAAAATTAATCAGAAAAATATGTTTTGAATTTTGGTTAAATTAAATCTACTATAAAACACAAAGCCTGTATCTGCTCTCAATTGTTTGAGACTTCTAGGTTTTCTCTTTGTGAACAGCTCATGTCTGTTGCACGTAGTGGATATTAAGAGGGAGTTCAGAGGAAAAGCACCCAAAAGGTAAAAGACACAGCAGTGGCGTCTGTGGTGGTGGCACCGTAAGGAACCGTCACGTGCCAGCTCTAGATTGGGCAAAGTTTTTTATGTCTCAAGTATAGAAACAGTGTCACTGCCCTGTTTACCCAGCTAGTAAAAAAGAAATTTGGCTGTGGAATTGAGCGTCCTTTCCAAACATTTGCTTGTGGGAGAATATCAGCTTTTTGCTCTTCTGTTCTTATAACTAATTGAAGGCCCCCACCACTCTCATATCCCCAGAGGACTTTTCTTGCACTTGCGTCTTTGCATTACAGAGGAAGAGCTGTGACAACTTAATCACAAGTGTGATTGTGAGCTTACCAATTTTAGATGACTTTCCTTGTGATACTCTTCTCCTTTCAGGCTCTTCAGGGTAAAAGGGGGAAGTCTGGTGTGGGAGGAAAGGGGAGGCAGGAAGAAATTGCACGGTCCTGTTTCCTCAGCCATGTGCGAACAAGATATATCTTTGGAATTACTGTGACATCTTAGAAAACAAAAACATATTTAAATAAAGATCATTGTGAGGAAAGCTGAAAGAAGGAACTGAGCAAAAGCAAGCATGCCCTAACTAATCGCTTTTGTCTGTAGCATTTTAATCACATTCTCACGTTATGGAAAGAAAACAGCGTTTCTGCACCTGCCAAGTGACTGAAGACCATGTGTGCCTTTTCTGTATCTTCTGATATATTCCTGCTTGAGACCCATTAGACAAAGTCAAGGCTGGATCCTGACACTAGAGCTCTACGTTCCCTCCCTTGTCTGAAAATCTGCATGTGGTAGGACAGTTTTGGCAATTTATAGTTCTGCACAGGGGAGAAGCATCACTGATTGTGATCACAGCCTGGAACTGAACTGTGAGGGTGAGCACTGGGGGACAGTGAGGGTATTGTTACTGTATCACTGCTGTGAAATTTTTCAGCTGATTCTGTTTCCCTATGTTTAAAAATCCAGTTCTCTCATGCCAACCCTCCGTCTGGCCCTCAACCCACTGTCTTGTGAAATTTTCCCCAAGGTGAAGCATGATACTTCTCTTCACCTTCTCCATGCTTCTTTGTGGCATGCTCTGCTGCTGGCTTTCTCCTGCAATCCCTAGTGCACTCAGCCTAAGTTATCGGTGCTTAATCTACTGAGGCTGCACCCCCACAGGAGTTCAAGTGGAGCCTGGAGGCTATAAATATCTCAGCCTCTTAAAAAGGATCCTGGACTAGCACTCTGAAAGCTCTCTTGCAGGTGCCTGCTTTCCCTTGTCCTTCTCTTACCAGGATGCCCTCTGAGTCTTCTAGATGAAGATATTTACTTCAGCTAATTTAAACCAGTAACCTGGACAGTATTGCCATGTAGCAGTCGTCTTCCATGCTGTTGGAAATGTGAACTAGGTTACTGCAGGAAGAGGGGAGGAAAGAGGAGAACGTTTTCTCCCGCTCTGATTGTTTGTATCTGTATTATTGGTACAAGTTATACATGAACAGTTTTACGTGAAGTGCATATAGGCTATTTAGTTTTAGTATTTAAATAAATATATTATAATGAATGGTTCCTGTTATGCTCTGCTGGCACTGCAGTTATGCTAAGGCCTCAAAAAAGCAATCTTCTGTTTTATGGCTGCTTATGTCTGCTAAAATACCCATTAATTAATGGACTAATTAAGTCTAGGATGTAAGAACACCCTCCAGGTAGTTAAGAACGGCATGAGTTCAGCAGTGTTGGCAATGGCCAGGCTGATGCAGAGCAAGCAGCACTATGTAACAGAAAACTGGAAGCCAGATAGCTTCTGAGCCCTCATTTTTATTATTTTGTCAAGTACGTGGCTCATCCTGGCCATAGAGTTTATGATAAGTCATATGTTATTAAAAGAAGGAAGAATCCCTGTAGCTTAAGACATCTGCTGAGTAGCTAGCTTGGACGGGATTCATGTATTGGATGCTGAAGTTTGCTGACGTTCCTAGCCTTTTTCTCTGTCTCTTCCCCTGTATGCTAATAAATCAGAAAGTTAGCAAAGCAGGACCTGGAGCGCTGCCCCACCATCTGCCAGCTGCCCAGGCCCACATCTTGCCGTGTGGCACAGGGGAGGTGACTTGCACCTTACTGAGAAGGGGCCAGCTACCATGTGCTTATGGGCAAAGAGTGTCTGTATAAGAAAGGGCAATTAAGTAGCTGACGCAAAGCAAGTTCCTGCCTTCGTTCAACTCTCCTTAGTAATTCTGCCAGTGTATTCAGACCTGTGGGAGGAGAGAAGGAAGGAGGGCACGCTTCTGATGATTTCACCTCACGCTGTCTCACCCCAGCAGGGAAGTCTGGTAAGAAACACTGCTTTCTTGGGTGTTAAAATACTCACTACTTTACACTATGCTAGCAGGGTCCATTCTGGGTGTCTAAATAATTCCAAATTGTTCGATAAATGGCTTGGCGAAGGAATGAGCTCAAAAAAAAAAAGTTGAGTGGCTAGTAACAGACTGATAATCTAGCAAGCAAGAATATGTAAGAACCGTGCAGTCGTCCTTGCCGGAAAGTGGGACATTGTCAGAGGTCATAGGCTTGGGGGAGAGGAAAGGAGGGAAGAGACAACAAAGTGCTGCTTTGGGAAGTGGTGCTGACTCTGTAGCCTTTTGTAGTTTCCTTCCCTCCTCCCCCTTCTGTTACAAAGGCAGATGTTGTCTGATACCATTTTTCTGGCCCATGTGAGGTTTCCTATTCCAGCTCTCTTTTGTGAAAGGTACTTAACGGGCTTCAGTGTTTTCTCAAGTCACTCAAAAGCTCTTCATGGGGCTAGCCTCATAGAATGGATAAGAAATAGGAAAATAATGAAACCTGTGACTCTGCAGTTCATTGGCCTCAGAAAACATGTGAACAGAGCTGACACACTTGTTTGTCTTGGAGTTCAGCAGCTCTTGCTGTTAAGCTGCGTGAAATTGTAGCTTGTTTCCAGAGCAACCAACTCAAGATGGTACAAATTGCCTAATTTCTATAGGTGAGAGCTGCAGCACCATAACGCAGACCCAAATCCTGGGTTCAAAAAGGAGAGAGTATTGTGAAATATACAGCCTTTTGTACCACTTAGACCAATTAGATGTGTGATATTCTTTATTGTTATTGATATAATTGCATTTATATAATCTAGATTTGCCCATAAGAGTAGAGTTTATTTTCCTTCCCTTATGGGAATAGCTACACCAGTATAAGCAATTTTAATATTGACAGGAATGCAACCCTATTAGGTTTCTGCACCAGTACTGGTGCTAACTATGCTCTGAGGTGCAAGGCTAGCCAAAGCATAAGGAGAGTGCCGCTGTCGATCTGTTTTCCAGCCATTTCAGACTATTTCCTACAATGTTGTTTCTAACCCAGATCAGGTGAGGTTGTTTCTGTCCTCTCAGTTCACAGATGACCTCCCAATGTGAGGTTTTCTTGACAAGTTTAAAAATTTGAGAATTAAATTTTCTGAAATATTTCTTAGCAATTTTTTATTTGGTTCCTTGGATTCTTATGATCTAAGTTCTAGCTGGAAAAAATGTTAATCCTTGGATATATATATACATGTATAAGCATGATTGGAAAGTGTGTCTCCTTCTTAATAATAGTTTTTCCTCCAAAGTCCATTTTCTAGTAGCTCATTCATTTCTATATGTATGCACACATGGGCACACATGGACCTATGTGCGCACACACACACAGTGTTACCTAGTTTTTAGGCAACACTACAACACCAAGTACTGTCATTAGCTAAAAATAGTTATTAATTGTATAAATATTTAGAATATATTTATTTTAACAGTGCTAACAGTAAAGTGTTACTGCTTCATAAATGCTAGATGTATGCATGCATATATTCCATGTTATATAAGCTATGTAAGTTTTATTTCTTTGGAGAGTATATATGTATGAAGAAGATTTAAGACGCATTTCAGAAGAATTTGTAAATGCCTCAACTTTTCTAAAAGGAACAATATATAGAGGAAAGTGTCATTAGATTTGTTTTATAAATGGAAAAACATGTTCTCTACTCCTTTTCCAAAATTACTCACTAAGGGTATCAGGAGAGCAGGCAGGAGATCTTGGGTGACCAGAGGTCCAGCCCTGTGCCACCAGGCTCCACTCTTTTTTCCTCCTGCTTCTTGGTACGTTTCAAAAGTACAGGTATTCCCCGGGGACCAGATCTGTCAGAATGGGTCATGAAACACCATTCCCACTGCTGCCTATCTGCTACAGAGGCCTTTGAGTAGCAAAGAGCAGCAAGTAAATGCACAGCGAGCTATTTGTCTCTTTCATTCAAGAAACTGAGTATTTATTTACCAAATAATAAATAAACACTAGTTGAAACATGGTGTCATGATGTTTTTCAAAGGAAACAAGAAAAGCTTAATGGTCAATCTCAGCTAGATCTCTACTAAAGTAGAACACCTTCCTTTAAGCTTTGAAACACAGGACATTGAATACTTACCTTTCTTCTCTCTATTCCCCACCCCAAAGACAACACGGATTACTGGTTCAGTGGGGAAAAAAAAAAAGGAAAAAAAGAGGGGAATCAAGGCTTGATGTTTGGAGGATAAAAACCAGGATAGCAAGGTGAAGTTTCAAGTTAATTTTTTCTGTATAAATTATGATCAATGACAGCACAAAAATAAACCCTGAGTAATGTTTGTCAGTAACTGTTTAATTAGAAAATGGCACCTCCGTTTATCTCAGGAGACTTTTCTGTACACAAAAGCCTGGGTGTTAGCAATAGCCAGGGGCTGCTCTCTGTTTGCCTTCAAGAAAATGCCTTCGTTCTCCATTATACTGCAGTGTCTTATTATTTTTAAAAAAGTCTAGAAAGAGGAAACTGCCTCTTGCAGGGCTCCCCGTAGCATTAAAATTACTGAGGTCTG